ATTGTTAAGTTTCTGGAGAATATGGCTCTGTAATAACTTCTAGAGTTAAGTTCCATTAACTCACTTTTATGCACACAAGCAAGAAAATGGGATTGTTTTTTATTCCTAGTATTTGCATGTGCTCATTTTGTTTAAGCAAATGCAAACATTTTATTGTGTTACAACACTTTTTATGCCTAGTCTTGTTCTCTTTTTTTTTCTGAAGCTGTTGGGAAAATAATTTATTTGAATATGTTATGGATTAATACATGTGTGGTGTGATACAATATTTTATTCATGAACAGGACAAAATAGTTTATTATGACCACTTACTGATGTTATAAAGTATTAGCACTATTTCTTTTAAAGTTTTGTGAAATCTAAATAGGCACATAGTTAGATTAGTAGAAAATACAAGTATTTTCAAATTATCAAACTTTACTATATTGAGTATAACAATATAATTTTGATTTGTAAGAACTGCCTAATTTGCAATGTTTGCCCTCACCCCCAGTTTTTTTTTCTTCTTGTTAGTTATATCTTTGAGAAGTTTGGTTGTGAATGCATAGCTCATAAACATTTTAAAATTGCTTATCAAATCATAGACCAAAATTATATTTTTAGAATGCAATTTAGAATTTCATTAAGCAGTGAGCTCACTTATCATATAATATCATGCATTGTTTTTTTTTGAGAAAATACAGAGTAGCTCATATCCTTTGCTTAAAATAGACTTTGTTCCCCTTAAAGCAATTATCTGTTAGTTCAATTTTCTCATCTATGGTATTCAACAGTACTTCACTTCCAATGAGCTTAAATTTTACATGCTTCTCATGAAATTGTGCCACATTTTTTCCCCTGTGTTAAAGCCATGGAGCCATGGAATTTAAAATACATATTTTCTTGGTCCTTTTTTCTTTTTTTGGGTTGTTGTTAAAAGCCTATATATGCAGGGAAAGCAAATTCTATAGTTTTGACTCAGCAATTAATAGGAACAGGTTACCCTGACTTGAATTGAAGAGGTTAATAACCTCTTCATAAATAAATTGAAGGGGTTAAAAAAGCAAATTTTAGAAAGCAACTCTGTAGTTCAAATTCTGCTTTGTACCACTTAATAGCATGTGAACTTACCTTTAAAATAGATGATGATGTTAATAATAATAAAACCAACTTCAGTGGGTTGTTATGAAAATTATAAGGATTATTGTATGTCAAGACCTTAGAACTCTGTCTGGCATATAGTAGTTGTTGCTTAGGTATTTTTATTATTATTCTGATATCTATTATTTTTCTTTGAAATTTTAATAAACCTCAAAATAAATAATTCATGGTCTAAGAATTTCTTTCTAAAACTTTTTTTTTTGTTAAAGATTTATTTATTTGTACATACAGAACTGGGGTACAGGCCAGAGGCTCAGGGGTGGTGAGAGGCTTCACCAGAGACAAAGTGGGGAGCAGAACAGGCAGATCGAGGAAGTACACTGCTGAGGGGAACAGCGGGCGGGGTCACCTCCGGGGCAGGCAGGAATCATGCAGAAGTGGCTTTAGCTTCTCAGTGCTGTGCCACCAGGGAGGGCCTCTAAAACTTTTAATATGCAGTTCGTAGTTACCCAACTCTGTTTAGAGAGTTTTTTTTTTTTCTTAAAGATTTATTTATTTATGCATACAGAACAGGGGCACAGGCCAGCGGTGCACGGGTGGCGAGAGGACTCACCAGAGACAGAGTGGGAAGCAGATCAGGCAGATTGACGAAGTACACTATTGAGGGGAGCAGCAGGCAAGATAGGAAAGGGCTGTTGTGCCATGGCGGTGACCTCCTTGGTGGGGAATGGAACTCCAAGGTGAATCAGCTGAGGCTAGTCATAGTGCTGTGCCCAACCTGTTGCACCACTAGGGAGGGACCCCTCTGAAAGCTTTGTCGATAAATTTATGGATAGTGTGTTCTAAAGTTTCCTTCATCTTTTCTTTAATGTTTCATATATTCATTTGCTCACTCAATCACTCCTATTTATTTAAAAAATTTATCATAGTGCTTGAGTATTTAATAGGGAACAAACTGGAAACATTCCCTGCAATCTATACTTATATTGAAGTCTCTACGTATGGCAATAAACCAGAAGAGAACAGAGCATGTTCTTTGGACATACGCTTACGCCCACTTATTTCCTGCAACATCATTTTGAAGCGAGTATCTTTTTGTCTGTTACTGACATATTAAATAACTTATTAATTTTTGGCTTAAAAAATCAGTATGTCTTTTTAATCGAATAATGCAGTAAAATTTGGTTTTAGAAATGGATGTAAAGATAATGTACCAATTCTCTTATTTACTTGCTTTCCCTATTAATCTATCTTATTAAAAAGTTTTAACATGACTCATTTCTGAAATTGAGAACTTAACTTTAGTTCAAAGTTTATCAGAGGATCTCATAATGCTCACATTTTAGACTGTGGGAAAAGGAGGCAGCTGAACGGCCATTAACAATATGTGTTGAAAAATCAGTTCTTTGTTGACTGTATACAAAACACACATTTCTAATAGTTCTTAATGGCACAACTTCCTCTATGGATTATCTAGGAAATACTTTTGTCTGAAAATCATTCCCGGGAGGAAAGCCTTCAAGATGTTTACTTTAGAGTGAGAGTTTGTGTGTGTGTGTGTGTGTGTGTGTGAGAGAGAGAGAGAGAGAGAGAGAGAGAGAGAGAGGCTGATTTGTGGAATGCTGAGAGGCTATCACATATGTATTAAATTGCATGATTCAAGGTAGTAACAATATCTAATTATGTAAAATATACGGTATATACAGAAGTTTGTCAACATTACTATATGTAATAGTCTTTAAAAATAAATAAAATAATGGCCACTAATCCAAGGGGCAAAGAAAACAATTATGACATATTAAATAACTTATTAATTTTTGGCTTAAAAATCAACAAAGAACTGATTTTTCAACACATATTGTTTTCATTAAAAGAAAATATATCACTGAAGAAATAACTATCTTGATGTAATTATTTAGATCCATAAAGGCAAAGTGGTTCATTTTTGCTCAGTTATCTTGGATTTGATTACAAATTTCCTTATTTCATTTGGATTGGAGACATCTGTAAAATGAACTCTCAGTCAGGATGAAATGATACATTCCTAGAATCCTCTTTAGTGGTTTCCAACCTGGGCTGTTGCATGTACATGGGGTATGTACATGGGATTTGCAATTTTTAAAAAATAGTCTCCCTACACCCTTTTGTAATTTTTAAAAACTTCTGATGAAACAGACAAAACTTGCAAGCTTACCACATACCGGAAGCATACAGTGGGGGAGGGGCCAAAATGGGAGGAAGAGCATAAGACATTGTGGTGATAGACCATGGGTGGTGGGAAAACTACAGGGACTACATCAGAGGGGAGAAATCAAATACTGTCCACAGATAACAACCATGTGAGGAAAACAAAAGTTCTGTTGATTCTGAACTATCTCATAGGCCAGTCATACAATTCCACCTCATATCAGAATACATTTTTAAGGGTCTGAATGACTGGATAGATTGTTTCTAAAAGATCCATTAGTGTTGTAGAGGAGTCAGTTACTTTCCTATAAGGATGCTTTCATCTTAATAGAGATCTCTTTTGTCTTAATTAAGATTGGCCCTGACCCAAAAAAGAATAAGTCTGACCAAATGCAATTTTATATTTGTACAGTAGTAAGTAAATTAAAGGGGGGCATTATGCATATTGTTACTGTGGTGCTTAAAATAGGAAGAACTGAGATATTTTCTATTGTTTTGAGATATAGGGGTTAGTTTACTTAGGAGATGAGAGAGCTTTCTTCAAAAAGGATACACACACACACACACACCTTTTGTGAAAAGTAACAGCCTTTCACAGAGAGACATTAAAATTTTCCAGCATATAAACTATATATGGAAAATGTATGGTCTTTAAAATATTAAATACATGTCTTTATATTTCTCTTTAGTCCAACTTCTGCTTGTATGTCAAAAAAAGATTTTTGAACTGATAAATTTATCTTAGGAAAAGCTTCGACCTTTAAAATAGTGTTGGTGAGATTTTTGTTAGGACAATATTCTAGTGTGTGTTGATAGTGGGGGTGTGTTCCTCCCTGTTTTATCTGTGGCAAAAAGGATCTCTCACATTTTGTTTTACTGTTACATTTACATCAATAATTAGTAAGACAGTCCCAAGAACTGTTTAAACCCATTTCCCCCACCCCCGGAAGGAAATCTTGAAATCTTAATCTTGAAAGTTTCATTGATACTTTTTTACATTGATATTGATTAAAGAATTAAGACATCTTGAGATATTCTTGTTGTTGGAGTTCAGGGTAGAAGTAACCCTTCTCTGTTTTTGGAGCCTGGAGGGTTAATGATGAGGCAAGACTGTCAACAATCAGAGGTGTTTCAAGTCCTGTTTTTCTTGGAATGTTTTCATTTCTTTCTCTGAATGAATGACCTGAATGAGAATGCAAAGATTTTTTCCTTCTTAACTTTATTCCTTTCAAAACATAATGTCATAATGTCACAGATATTCATTTATGGTAATCTAATTTGAATAAAATTCAGGTATATAAGCTAGAAAGTAACCCATGAGGCTCTGACTATAACAACACCAATGTGAAAAATTGTTGGGGAATGATCTTTACTGTGAATTTCTCCAACTGTTGTGATACAATTTTAAAAGTCTTTTTAAAAAATTCTGATCATTTATCTGAGAAAGTGTAATTTAGAATATTACCTTGGCAAATAGCTCTGCTGAAGACGACTACTGCAGTTTCTTTTCAGATGTTAAAACCTAAGCCCAAATCACAACATGGAGTTAAGAGCTTCAAATATTAATTACCTCTGTGTAAAAGGCAGAAGTCCTTAAAATGGTCTGCAGGTTTCCCCACAATCTTTTACAGGGTGAGCAGAGCTATATCCACTGATAACCCAGCTGCTGAGGAACTGAGTAAAGCCGACTCTAAACTTCTCAGCTGTTGACAGGCTTGACTTGCTGAGAACACTGGTTAAATATAGCACGCGCGAGCTCAGCTCCTCAACAAAGTCATTGCTCTGACAGTGTTGTGAAGGGAGCAGAAGACAGAAACCTAATCTCAGAACTCAACAACACCTAGCAACAGTTGAAAAAACTTTTAAACAAAAGTCTGGGTGGGAGATATACAACAGCCTCCAATTTCTGCTGATCGGGATTTCAGTGAGAAGAAGCTGCTTTCCCCTTCTCTCCACTCAGTTTCCTGCATGACTTCAGCTATTGGCTATTCCTAGGAAAGAAAGTGGGAAAAGCTTTTTCTTCTGTATTCTTTTGGGCTGGATAGTTTTCCAGGACTCTAGTCTCTTTTGGGCTGTGTGACAAGCCACTGGGTTCTTCAAAGGATAAACTGCTTTCCTACGGACATACCCTCGGATAAACGAGCAGTCTGCAGGTAAGACTAAAATAAGTATTCACTTAAGAAAATTTTGCTTTCACAAAAAGAGAGTTTTGTCTGATTCTGTGTTGTGTTTCCTTTGATTCTTCTTGCTCTTATCTGCGATAACACATTTAGGAATTATGATACGCATTTTGAATTACTTAACAAAAAAAATACCATCTATTCTTGGAATTATACTACACACAAAGATTTATTTAAACACAAAGATTGTTTTGATGTTCTAATAGCTACCAAAATAGTCCTGCCAAGTTATCGTTCTCCGGCAGGTAACAGAAATGTGACCAACTACAGTTTCACAGCTCCTTTTGCAATTAGGATGACTGACCAATAAAAGGGATATTTTCCTTAGAAGCAAAATAACTTTCATGTATTGCAACTAGCTGGACAGCTTGTGTGGTGAGAGGAAAGTCCCTCATGGTGTTTGTATTGCTGTACTTTTGACTTGCTGGTTTCCACTTCTCCTTTTGCTTGATTCTCTGATTACACTGGAACACCTTGTGCTGGTTCCGACCTCGTCACATTACCGTCAGAAATGCTTCTGATTAGGTGCAAAATAGCTTGGTCTTAAATCACTACTTTGCAATTGAATATAAATCTTTCAGGAGAATATTGTTTTATGTGTTCTTTAAAAAATAAATCAAGTAATTACTTGTATTATAGAGATTCTGATTTTAAATTTAAATTGGAATTTATTAGGAAAAAAATCCTCTCTTAGTTGCATGTAGTAATGTGTTTACTGTAATATGAAGGAAATCCTTTTTTTCTTGTCTTAGTATATTGTCTCCACTTCCGTGAATTGTGATGCAGTTTTATCAGAATTGCTTAGAGTGATCTATTTCACATTGAATCTGACAAAAGTTATGGCTTTATATTGGTGATATGGGTAGTATTGACACCTAGTGGTCTGGAGGTGGATTGGATTTCCATAAGATGATTGTTGCTATAAATGAACATGAAAATTTGAATGCATATTCTAACTTAAGGATAATATCAAAGATGATGACATGTACATTTTAAAAGGAATTATTTGTCAATTTAAATCAAGTTAAAGAATTTACTCAAGATTAAGTTTTGAATGAATTATTTTTTGACAAGTAAGACTATATCAACTCTTTCAGTAAAGCTCATATAGCATATGTTCTAGAAAATAAAATAGTATACACATTTTAGTATGTATATATTCCATATATATACATTATATTCTGATTATATGACTATTTTACAAAGTGAAAAAGCTAGTAACATATAATACATGTATATATGCTGTAGTGCAGAATGGCATTGGTAAACAATATAAGAGAATGAAACTCTTGATATTTTAGTGGAGATGAATTCTCTTTGTCTTGAAAGAATTTTGAAAAGTCAGAACTAAATGCTTTACATTTTTTTTTGTTTTTACCTTAGGAAGGGTCACATTGTTGGCTTACAAATGTATGTGGAAAGCCAAAATCTACCATGAGTTCTGGGTATGTAATTTCTTTTGGAGTCAGTGGGACAGAGATAGATAAATGACATGCATAGTATTTCTCTCTGATTGAAAGTCATGTTTCCTGATGAATTGAATTTTTGAGTATTATCTTCATGATTGCAGATTTACCCTTGAAAATCAAGAGCAGAACAAGTTAGACCATGTGCTTCCTCAAGTATATGCACATCAAACTTTGAGCTTTGAAGGTTATGTGCTTCCTTCACACTAGTTCGCATTTCTGTGATATTTTGGAGTTCTTCCTTCCTCCTTCACTATGAGAGTAGCTAGATTCCATTGCCATCCTACTACAATAAAGTCTGTTCTCTTCATCCTATGGATTGAACAGTGCTGTTCTCTCACTCCTCATTACTGTCCAAACCATTTTGCTCATGACCATGGTAATTTCTAAAGCATTGATATACTTGTGTCTCTACTCTTCAGTTATCTTCTGGGACTCCTATTTGATGCCAAACACCTAGGCTGGGTATTTTGAACCTTCCATCATCTGGCACATTCTTAATTTTTCCAGTTTTAGTTTCCACTAGTCAACAAGAAGTGTCTTTCTGCTTCAGATATTTTATAAACATATGCATACACAAAGTGCACATTTCAATCTCCACCTCTTCCCATTTTGTTCCCCATCTCTCCTTTCCTCTAGAGAACTTGTCCAGTCTTAAAACCAAGACAAACATATTCTAATTTAACAATAATTTCCAGACCCGTAAGATTTAGAAGTGATTCCTTCTCAGTTTATTCAGTTTGGTGCTCTGTTAGAGTTAGGATACTTTGGAGCAGATGTTTCTTCTGTAAACTTACAATAATTTTCTGAAAGTGATTAAAGCAAAACTTGATTTTGGAGCTTTTTAGTCTCATGTACATTCTGTATCTTCTATTAATATTTTTTGGTTTTAGATTTCTGATAATGATTATTTCACAAAGTACAGAGAGATAAAAGTCAAGAAATGCAACTGTAAGTCTGATTGATAACTTTTTATTTAAAAAAATTCTTTGCCCTCCCTAGTGGCGCAGTGGGTTAAAGCACAGCATTGCGAAGCTAAAGCCGCTTTCGCATGAGTTCGATTCCCTCCTGCCCCGGAGGTGACCACATGGCGTGGCAGACCTCTCCTGACCCACCCACTGCTCCCCTCAGCATTGTACTTCATAGATCTGCCTGTTCTGCTCCCCACTCTGTCTCTGGTGAAGCCTCTCGCCACTCCTGAGCCTCTGGCCTGTACCCCAGTTCTGTATGCACAAATAAATAAATCTTTTAAAAAAAAATTCTTAAAGTCTTCATAGTTTTTTTTAAAGATTTATTTATTTTATTTATTTATTCATACAGAACTGGGGTGCAGGCCAGAGATGCGGAGGGTGAGAGGATTCACCAGAGACAGAGCAGGGAGCAGAACAGGCAGATCAACGAAGTACACTGCTGAGGGGAGCAGCGGGCGGGTCAGGAGAGGTCTGCCACGCCATGTGGAGCTCCTCGCGGGCAGGCGGGAATCGAACTCATTGGAAGTGGTTTAAGCTTCTTAGTGCAGTGCTTTAACCCGCTGCGCCACCAGGGAGGGCCAAGTCTTCATAGTTTTACACGCACGTGCACACACACACACATAGGCAATTGTAACTATGCTCCTGTATGTTATTGTGGAGATGATATAGCTCTCCAGAATGAAATAGAAAGTTGACATATAGATATCACAAATATGGATAACATTTAGATATCTTTTTATTTCATTCTGGAAAACTACAGCATCTCCACAGTGAGATGCATCTCTCTCTGTCTCTCTCTCTTTCTATCACATATATACACACATGTCCTGTATTAGCATCTAGACTTATACATATTGTAACTCATAAATGTTTATCATCTTTTAGTACGAGATTCTTTTTATAGTCAATTACTTTTGGTATTTTTAATTTAAATCATGGTTCATTGTATTGGTTAGTCAAACAGTTAAGCATGGCCTTGAATGTTAAAATGCTTAATTACATGTACATGTTATAACTTCTTCCCCCTCCCAGATATATAAAAGATAATTTTATTTAAAAAATTTGAAATAACTTTAGTTTACATTGCTGTATTGTGGAAATATAGGATCCTCCACTGTCCAGTGATGTTACCATGGTGCTCCTATAGCCAAAGTACCCACAGTCCTCCATCACAGTCCATTGCTGCCTCCCCACTTTGTGCTTGCCCCACCCGTCTGTCTGAAGGCCTCAGTCATCTTCAAGGGTTAGTTTAAGTTTGGCTTTTTTGACCCTTGGTCTTCTTCCTTGATATTCCACATATAAAAGACACCATTCAGTATTTGTGTTTCTCCTGCTGACATTTCACTTAGCATAATCCCTTCCAGCTCCACCCATGTCGCTGTAGTAGTGTGCATTTACCTTTTTTGATCACTGAATAGTATTTCATTGTGTGTGTGTGTGTGTGTATATCTCATATCTTCTTGGTCCAGTAATTTGAAAAAGAAAACTAAACAAAACCAAGAATGCTCTTATTATTTTTAATCACTCATGAATCTGTATCCTGACCAAACATGAGTCATTATTTTCAAGCAAGTGTTTCTCCCCCTGTGTATACCAAAAGAAAAACTTTCTTCTTATATTTTAAGATGGCCAAGGAAGTTAAAATTACCCTTGTAAATGGGTGCTCAACAGAAATTGCTACAGGTTTTCCCCAAGGAAATTCATGAAATATTTAATATTTATTTCACAATGGCTTTGCTGTTGTAATTTTTAAGTAGTTGTTTTGAAGTGAAACTTTGTAGTAAAATACACAGTTAAACAAATGCTAATTATGTTTTTCTTTTTTGGAAAATGAATGCTTCATAAAACAGTTCCCTTAAGAAATACTATTTTGTAGATCTAGTTTATCCTCATTTTTCTTATCTGATTTCTGTAAAAATGTGTGTTTTAGAAAATCAGCATCTTGGGAAGTGAGGAAATGGCTTTAGGTTGCAAAATATTTTGTCAGAAAGGTTTAAGAGAGAAAAGGTTGGTAACAACTATGCGAAAGTGACATTTTCAAGAAGTTTATAACAATTTTATTTATACATCATTTTAGTAACAATTAAATAATAAAGTAGTTAAAAAACAGTTTTTTCCTTTAAATCTGAGTTAAAGATAAAGCAGCAAGGATATGTTTCAAGTATGAAGAAGGAGGCAAGAAAGGTTAGTAGCATCAATGAGCTAGAAGGCCTGGATTCAGATGTTAGTTCATTGTGACTCTGGGCAAAGTATTCTCAGTGCTTTACTTTCCTTATCTGTAAAATGGGGGTAATAATTTCATATCCCTGAAAGAATTGTGTTAGAGATTAAATGAATTAATAAAAATAAATTTTAAAAAGTCAGTAAATTTAAGCTTTACTACTTTATTATCACACCTTAATTAATTACACTATAAATCTAGTTATCTGTTTATTTTATCCTTTGTTGCACACAAAATTCTTGGGCACAGTCTGTGAACTCAAGTTCATAGATCATAGGAAAAAGCAGAAGAATGTATTGTTTAAATTTGGAATCC